TTTATCCGCATGTACCAGTTGATATTGTGTGAGTAGCATATGAAGCCCTGTATTCTCTGCATCCTGACGTTTTTTTATCTCATCTTTACTCCAAGACTGCTATACGTGAAATGGTAAACTTGGTTTGTGTGCGGCTCAGTGCAGTGCCGTAACACCATTTTTAGTAAATCGTCAAAATTTACACTCACTTTAATGAACATTGCATAATCGCAGATGTAATCATTATGGGCTTGCTGAATCTTAGGTAAGGATATATTATTATCATTTCACCATCAATTTGTTCGTAATCGTTGTTGATCAAATTTGGATAATTAGTATCAGATTTACATGCTTGTAACCAAATAATAACTTGAATATTAGTGCGTTTCAAATGTTGCTCAAAAGCATTTGACGTTGGTGGGAGGTGTTCCAACATTGATTCGCTCGAATTAGTTTTGATAAACTTTTGTTCACTGCATCATTTGGCAATGGAATCGCACCCAAACTTGATAGTTCATTATATGAAGCGGGTCTTGAAAAATAACTTTGAGAAATTCTTTTCTTGGATATATTTTTGATAAAACTGGTACTGCCACATCCGAAATCGCATGTAACACTAGTAACAGTTTTGGATTGACTGACTGAGCAATATCCTGAAATAAAACAATATTTTTTTAAACGAATTATTTGAACCATGAATGTTACCTGTGCTATCCGAGTAGAATTGACGTATTCTTGTTGTTTTTTAGAACTGTTGCGCGGAGTTCTACGATCTATCAAGATTAACAAGTCATTACCTAAGATTCAGCAAGTCCATAATGAAAATCTTAGGTATAAAAAATAGAGCATTATAATGCATTAAAGACGGAATCTTGTAGACACAAGTAACGTTCATCTTCGATTCACTGACCCTTGACTGAAAATGCGTTTTTAACAATGATATGGTTTTAAAATGAGTCTCTTGTTGCTCAAAGAGCAATAACTTCCATGTCCCTGAACGTTAACCTCAGCAGTTTAATTGCGACTCAACTTTCAGTCTTCAAAGTGTTACTTACAATGTTAACTATAACTGGCTAAATAATACACACTTGGTTGGTTTTCTTCCTCAAATTTTTTGTTGTATTGTACCGTGACTCACTCTCATGCTAGCAGCAACAGTGTACCGTCCCCGTTCAAGTTTGTTTTTCTTCTATTATTTCCTTTTTTTGTCCCTTTATTGTTTTTGAGTAAATTGTTTCATGTCTGTTTTTTATGCCGTTAAAAGAAGGCATAAAAATTTAACGGCTCAATTTAAGAGATTAACACATTGTCATGCATCACAAGCAGTTAATGTTCTGTAAAATATTTTTTCGAAATTTAGTTATAATGTATTGCAACTGTTTAATAAATTATAATGCGTTAGCTATACTAATGAACAATAGTGTCTTAGACAGAATAAGCCATTATATCGCATTAAAGTACGTACTATGCGTATTATTTTGCATTAACCCATAGTTAACGTATTATGATGTGTTCCAATATGAGCCTTAATGCGAGTCTGACGCATGATAGCGCATTAAAAAACTGGTTTTTAAAAATGAATGGCCTTCAATTCCCTTGACTGGAAGTCTAGGGTCATATGAAATAAATTTCCCAGTCTTTAATCCTTGTAAATATGTCCTTCAACATGTCATATATATTATTCTATCTAATCTAATCTTACATATAAACAAAGAAAACAAAACAATAATTGATGTTTCTATTTCTCTTCAAAAATGCCCATTTTAAAACCATATCGTTGTTAAAAACGCATTTTCAGTCAGGGGTCAGCGAATCGAAGATTAATATTACTTTTAATTAATGGGTAAAGATATTTCTAATGACAAATCAATTTATTACTGGGCATCGAAGAATCAAATTTCAGTTTTTTGTCCAGCTATTACGGACGGATCAATTGGTGATTTAATCTTTTTCCATTCATTACAATCGAATGGATCACCAGTTGACATTGCTGAAGGTATAAAACTATTGAATACTCTCGCACTAAATGCTAAATCTACTGGATGTTTGATTTTGGAGATGCATTTCAACGCAGAAGTACATCTTTTCTCAAACATTGCTTCGCTGTTGTCTATCCATGTTTCCGTTTTATCTGGTAATAGTGTATAAAGTGCTGGAATTGTACCTTTCAAAATCGGCGATAATGCGTGAATGGAATATACCCGTGCAAATGGTGATGGACAAGATTTGAATGTACCATCCATAAATATATGTTCAGAATCACATAATAATTTTAATGAATCGGTCGTTCCAAAACATAAATAACGAGGACTACTATTATCGATTACTAAAA